ATTTAAATAATTGTTTGTAGTATATAAAACGATCATAAAATTGCCATTAGGAAAAATGATAGATTACAAATGATTGATTATTGTCCAGCAGTGTATTTGATTTGTTATAGCAAATTCAAAGTAAGAGATAAGAAAAGAATTCCTTGTAAATTTAAAAAAAAAAAAATCATAAAACATACATACATAAAATTATTGTATTTCAGAATCAGAATCAGAAAGAGCTTTATTGCCAAGTAAGTTTGAGCATACAAGGAATTTGTTTTAGTGACATAAGCTTCCAGTACACAGAGACGACAACAACAACACAGACAATAAAAAATAAAATGAGAATAAAAAAAATAAAATAGAACAAATACACACTGACTGTGGAAACTTCACACTGGACTTCAAGCAACATGGTTTCTGTGCCTCTTAAACTATAAATCCAAAAAAAGACCAAATAAACGGGCTTAAAATAAAGCAGAAAAGTGGCAATTCACCTGACAATACAATGGAGGCCCAAACAGCCCATAATAATCTGTGCTGATCATTTGCTTTCATATTCAACAGTTTCTCTATAAACATAAAACACTTCATTGACCAATCATTTTCATTAGTGCCAAACTCTATTCCTATAATACCGTTTCCACTAGCAGCATTGGATGTGACTGCTGGCTAAGGCTCAAACTACTCAGCTGTAGAGCAGCACACAGCAGTGCATCTGAAGGTGAGACTCCATATGGTGCTTAACAAACAGGCTGGCCCATTTGTACAGTAGTAATAGAGGCTGTGCAGTGGCGGCAGCCTCTGCAGGGCCTGTTTGTGGACTCTGTTATGAGTCATGGGCTATTAATCGTACTGTTTACAGCACAACTGCTTTCCAGCAGCCATCCAGTGAGCCACTGAGAGGAGCCAGTCCTGCTCTCAGCCTGGGACTGTCATAAACACATAGGAAGGGGGGAAAAAAAATACTTATGAAAACTTTCAACATACCCAGGGTGCAAATTCGCAATGTATAGATAAACATGGGGAATATTCAATAAAATCTTAAAACTAAATAGACAGAAAAGGCCAGAATGCAGAGGTCTTTTTTCAGCTGAACATCTTTCATAGTTTTAAAGAACATTTAAATCAATAAAGTGCATATGCATACCAAGAGTCAGTCCAAAAGGTTTGTTTGATTTGTCTGGGTGTTTAAAATTCCTGTCTAAGGTTACAACTGTACTTACAACAGCCATCATTAAAGAACACCAGTTGAGACACATCAGTGTGTTGATGACTTTAGAAAAAACATGCAAGGATGAAAAAAGCAAAACCGTTTTTTCCCTGCTGTGTGATGTTTCTGTGATGAAATCTAACAGCTGGTTAAAATGGTGCAAGTGAAGATAGGCTAGTACTACCTACTGGTTTTAAGTCCAAAAAGTAAGACTGCTTACCACTCAGTTAACTGCTAGTTATTCAAACAAGTTCTTAAGACACAGACACAGTGGCTATGTTTATGCAACTGACCCCTGAGATGTGTGGCATGTGGATTCAACAGGAAATTGAATATCTTAAAGCAGAGCACTTAGCATAAAGTTCCACTAGACTAACCAATAAAGTTAGTTTTTCATGACCTAACCACATACTGAAAAATAAACCAACAAGGACACAAGCTTAGCACAAGCCTTCAGACCTAGTAAATGCATACTCAATTATACGCTACAGGACTGGACTAAAAGGCTTCAGCACAGGAAAGTGCAGTGCTGCGCTGTGCAGAGAAGACTGCAGTGGTGGGAGCTCATGCGAGAAATACAAGTAAATGGTGAGCTGGAGGAGAGCTATATATCTCTAGGACTTTCTGATGGTGAAGGGACAGGTTCTGCTCCCAAGCAAGCCTCTACTGTACAAGCGAGTCATAAATAATAACCCGGGGCAGTTCTTCATCCACACAGTCAATAAAAAGGATCCCCGAGTTGCCATTGGGAGACTGAAGCCAAGACAAAGGTGCACCAATAACAATAAAATCAATGCTCATTTTATTTGCAATGAATAAACAAACTGGCATGGCTACAATTTACATTAATTAATGAAATAATTTATGAAATGTTTAACCCGGTTACGGCATTTATACAATTTGAAATATTTATTTATTTATTAATGGACACTTTTTTTTATTAAGTACTGTGCTTCTGTGCTACTTTTTTTAGAAAGTCTTATATACATTAGATGCTTCACCACAACATTGTTTTAATTGATTTAGTGTATCAACAGGAAATCTCAATGTTAGGTTTACAAACAAACCCTTTGGCAATATTGTAATAATCCAGAGAGATTTTTCTATCAACAAGAAGTCCTACAACAGAAAGTATGGCAAACACATAGATCTGATCTCACCATCATTGAGTCAGTCTGGAATTACAGAAGCAACTGAGATGCCTAAATCCATTGAAGAACTATGGCAAGTTCTCCAAGACGCTTGCAACCGTAACCACAAGCTAATGTAAAAACTGTTTTGTTGGACATGATCATACACAAAAATCTCATTGGACACAATTACAATATTTGCAAATGGAATGTTTAGAAATCCAAATCTTAAAACAAAGGTCTTAGTAAAAGTTTAACATATATATATATACAGTGGGTACGGAAAGTATTCAGACCCCCTTAAATTTTTCACTCTTTGTTACAGTTCAAATGTTACAAAAAAAGAAAAAATAAGCATATTTTGCAGCTTGTAGCTCAACAAGTGTGAAATATATTACCCACAAGGAAAACTCTGCTATTCTAGGAAAAACATGTAGTAAAGGTGTTGATCTGATCCAGGAAATGACAAGCATGAGGCATAATTTGACTGCTTGTTCTGGCCAATTAGGCTGCAGCCAGAGAAATGTGCTAGAGAGCAGGAGGATGACACTAGAGTCTTAAAGGGGTCATGAAATGCATTTTTTAATTATTTGATAATGTTTTCTGAGGTGCACTTATAATGTTAGTATGATTTTTACATCGAAATTGACAATTTAGAAATAAAGAGGCATTTTCTACCCTGATTTGAGCCCTCTGATTTGAACGCTCTGTTGGAAGGGGCGTGTCTGCTGTGAGACTTCATTGGAAACATCTTTGCATATGAAATAAGCATTACATGTGAAGCTCTCTCAAAAACTTTTACTACGTTTTTACTATTACAGCTGTTGAGATTACCTAATCATGGAGAGTGCTGATTATAGCATTATATTTAGATCTACTCCCGTCACATGAAAGGTTGCAGCAATGAGCACTGTAGCCAATGACAGACTGTTGAGAGCATGAATGCAGTGATGAGTGATCTCATCATTGCAACTCAAGTTTTGCACATTCACAAAAGCTTTCATCATAACTAACATTGCAAACACGATGTAAATAAGAGATTCATTGTGCAGTGTAAACTGCGTCACTGAATATAAACTCATGCTGTGTGATTGACAGCTCCAGCGATTATAAAGGGAGCCTTCTTGATTGCTTTTTGTATAGAATTTAAGATTCGGCATTAGAATAAATATGGTTACTTACATGTTGTGGTATTACTGTCAGGCCCATATCTTACAGTAAAAGTCTGTTTGCAAACTTGTGCCGAAACTGCAACTGATTTACCAAAGAATCCACAGTGAAATGCACTGAACAAACAAATAATGCTCTAATTAGATATCCACGTAATTAAAAACAAAGGATTATTTGTAAGTTAATGTTTTTTGTTTTTTTTAAGTCCAGTGATCCTGTATTGCTCTTCTCTCCAGCTCATCTCACTAACGCTCCAGTGGGCGAGGCCAAAGACGCAATGATGTAAAAGTAGGTGAGGATCTGATTCTGCAGAGGCAGGCTTTCGCCGCACTATGATGTCATAATGTGACAAATCAGAAACGAGTCGTTCACAGGATGTTTTTAAAAATAACCTCTTGCGTCTCAAAACATCAAGGAAAATTTGTTTTCTCAATTCACGACCCCTTTAAAGCCAGTTCAATCTGCACCGAATCCTCTACAGCTACTAGCAGAGGAAAACTGAACATAACTGTAGTTTAAAGGATTAGTTTACTTCCAGAATAAAAATTTCCTGATAATTTACTCACCCACATGCCATCCAAGATGTTCATGTCATTGTCTTCAGTCACAAAGAATTAAAGATTTTTGAGGAAAACATTTGAGGATCTTTCTCCATATAATGGACTTAAATGGTGACTGAAGGTCCAAATTGCAGATTCAGTGCCGCATCAAAGGACTCTACATGATCCCAGCCAAGGAATAGGGGATATATCTAGCGAAACGATTGGTAATTTTCTGTCCTTTGAAGCTGCACTGAATCTGAAATTTGGACCTTCAGCCCGTTGGTTCCCATTGAAGTCCATTATATGGAGAAAGATCCTGGAATTTTTTCCTTAAAAACCTTAAGTTCTTTGCGACTGAAGAGAGAAAGACAAACATTTTGGATGACATGGGGGTGAATAAATGATCAGGAAATTTTTATTCTGGAAGTGAACTAATCCTTTAAGTTTGTATGCAAGAGGGCATTACCATTCATGAAGCCACAATGGTAAATGTGCCGCAGTAAAGGTACAATTATTTATTTTGCCTTCAGGAACCTCTAATTTGGTCAGTACAGGCCCCAAATATGAGCTGAGACCATTCAGTAAACTCAGATGCATAATGCTCATTAATCAGTAGCCCGATTTCAGCCCAAGTTATGACAAAATCAATGTAGCCATACCTGGGGTTCCCTCGCAGAGCTGCGTGGTGAAGTGCGTTGAAGCCATTATTGTTGGTAATTGTGACATCTGCACCTGCTTCCAGGAGCACAGAGAGCATGTCGTCCCTCTTCTTGCTGATGGCATCATGCAGAGGTGTGTCTCCCTCTGAGTCCTGCAGGGGGCAGCATTAAGTTACACACTCTTTAGTATATGTGGTGCATTGCTAATAAATGCAATGCAGCTTCATTTAAAGGGGTCATATGATGCGATTTCAATTTTTCCTTTCTCTTTCGCAGATGCCAAATAAAAGAATGCCTAGAGTTTAACTTTACAGAGGGTGTGATGTGACTTGTGTACAACAGAACAGGCAGAAATATGCTAAAATATACAAATGCTTAACATTTATATAATAATAAATGCTGGCATTCCATGGCAATGTTGTATGTGATGGCATTTGCTTTTGAAAAGCAGCCAACCAATCCGTGCTGATTCATGGTAAAACTGCACTAGATTGTTCACTGCAGAATAGAAGAGAAAATGTCTTGTCTGCAGTATAAATAGCATATTAACTCTTTCCCCGCCATTGACGAGTTATCTCGTCTTTTAGAAGACAACGCTTCCGTGTCTGTTATATTGTATTTATTTTCTGCTATTGCTTGTAATTTGGTTATCGGTAGAAAAGGTTTTTAGCACTGAGCCCATAGTAGCAGCCAAAAAAGTCTCAAATAAAGTTAACAGCTATATTGTGATTACTAATATAGTATTATTAAGAAAATAATTTGATTTGATTGTGATTTTGCTTTGGAACCTTCAGAAAACTTTAACTCGATTTTTCTCAAAATTGGCTGACTCTCGACATCAAACGGGTGTAGCTCAGTCATTTTTCGTCCGATTCCAACAAATCATACATCATTCTGAAGGTCTTTTAATGGAGAATGTGAAAATAAAAATAACTCATTTTTGAAAATGTGTTCATTGTGACTCAATTTGCCAGCACAGGTCACATTTGGTCATTTTTGTGCCCATCTCTATATGCTAAACTGAAAACAAAATACAGATCTCATCTTAACATTGAGCATGACTTGAGAGTGGCAGGATCAAGCCTACAACCTCGTTTTGAAAAGATGTGTACTACAAAGCAGGCTCATTGCAGCCACTAAAATAGTGAATAAGATTATTCATATATTTTGTCAATTTTGTTTGTTCTTTTTGCATGCAGCTTGAAAAGTGACAAAACGAAGCAAAGCATAACTGGTCCACACATTTATTTTCTCAGTTTCTGAATTAGATTTTCATCAGAGGCAAAATGCAAACGCAATTGCATTATTATTAATATTTAAAGTCTTATTTCATGCAAAGTTATAATATAATTGCACTTTTATTTTCTTTATTTGAAAGTTTTTAATGCTGTTATTTGATGTTATGCTTTTTAAATGTGATGTTAATAAAATAAATTTTAACAGCTAAAATTAAAGCCTAGTTTATTAGTTTATAAGGAGAGTTAGGGGGTGTGCCCGACGCGTGAATCCTTATAATGGAAAACACGATTCCTATCACCGTGTCTACACCGGATGCGAGTGGCACGGCGCGACAAAATACTATAGAACCACTGATCTATAATAGAGATTCATTATATATAGATCAGTCTATAGAACTCATTATAATCAGTGATGCTGTCTACACTGGATGCGGCGCGACGCGACAAATCCCAGACAGTAAACTGCTGCCACGTTCTATTTATGACGTGCTGACACAAATTTCAAATGATTTTCAACGGTCGCTTTGTCGCGTCCAGTGTAGACAGACTTTAGCTGATGCAGCGCGGCGCGACACAACAACTGTCGCGTCCGGTGTAGACACGGTGTAACGGTTGTCTGTTACATCCTACAGTACATAAAATTCACTTACCACATAAACAGAGTAAGGAGAGATGAGGACGATGGCGAATGATTTGCAGATCCTCAGTACCACTGACAAACATATAATCTTGTAAAATGTGTGGCAAAGTACTGCCGCTCCATAGCATAAACGGAGTACGTGCGATCGCGAATCTCGAAAGTGAAAGTAATATTAAAAGTGATTCAAAAGCACGATGCCAATTTCAATGCCAGGTATAAAACCTGATGCCGAAATATATATGTAGTATAATTACCCAATTATATAACTGCAAGGAAAAATATTGAAATATATATGTTCCTCCCATCTCGTATTTATTCCCTTTAGGGGTTCCGCCTACACGTCATTTTCTTTCCGAACACGGTATTGGGGGAATGGGGGGGGGATTACGATGCCGGCTCAACAAATTACATCAACATGTGCGCCTTGGCGAATATCCTAGTAAACACAGTCGTTTAGGCCCATGTCTTAACGTAAACAGTTGAGAAAGAAAACGCATGTGTATCAGTATATTGGATCCGTGCGTTCGTTCTTAAAGTGAAAGCAGACTAACAGAAAACTTCTGTCAAAGAAAAAAATCTTTCACTGATTTTGACTGAACAACTTTTATAAGGATTAATCTATATTTAATCTATACAGTGAAGACTATTCAGTGTTATTTTACATTTGATTATTACCTTTCTGTACCTGAAAATTTCTTTTAGATCTACCTGAAAAGCACTGTTTATTTAATTTGTGTCCGTTATATTGTATTTATTTTCTGCTATTGCTTGTAATTTGGTTATCGGTAGAAAAGGTTTTTAGCACTGAGCCCATAGTAGCAGCCAAATAAAGTCTCAAATAAAGTTAACAGCTCTATTTTTGATTTCTTTAAATTTATTTTTCTACATTAATGTATTTTTTCATACAACTGGAGTACCTCGTTTGTGTTGTTTCCTAATGAGGATTTACATTATTTAACACATTGCATATTTTATCACAGAAACCTGAAAGACTGTCTTGACTGTTGTCATATCTTAAGATTACTGATCTTGTGTGTGACTTAAATTTGTTTTTTTTCTCATTATTTAAAAAAAAAAAAAAAAGTGTAGGCCTATTTTTTGTTGTGAATATCCCAATTGAGGAACAGGATGTGAAAATTTAAGATAAATATTCATGTTATATGTTTTGGTTGCATTTGTGAGTTAATAAAAATGTAGACGGTTGTTTAAAATATGTATAATATAATAGTATCGATATATCGATCGATATTCTCCTGTATCGAATCGTATCGAAATAGTAGAATTTTTTGAAGTATTGGCAAATATCGTATCGCTGGGTATAAGAATCGATATTGTATCATATCGTGACAAACCATCCGATTTAAACCCCTAATTATTATTAACTATAACTATATCAAACTAGTGTCCAAAATCTCCCAACAGCCATATCAATAATCTACTAAAATAATCTTGTTTCAATGAATTGTGAGCAACTTGAACAAACCTTGCCTGTGTGATTTTGTATAATAATGCTGAATAATTAAACCAATTAAACTAATTTCAATTAACCACTTGTTATATTTGATATCAACATTTTCTGGGAAAACTTTTGCTGTCTTTTGTTTTCTTTCTTTTTTTTTAAACAATCAAGATACTGTGCCAAGTTAAAAGTAGTCAACTTTAACATTAACTTCAACTTAACTTAAAAGTATGGAATAATTAAGTTTTTATTTAAACGACAAGGCCTCACAAGGGCTGCATTTATTTGATCAAAAATACAATAAAAACAGTAATATTGCGAAATAATACAATTTAAAAATAAATGTTTCCTATTTTAATACATTTTAAAATTAAATTTTTCCCTGTGATGGCAAAACAAATTTTTAGCAACCATTACTCCAGTCTTCAGTGTCACATGATCCTTTAGAAATTATTCTAATATGTTGACTTTGTGCTCTCAAAATATTTCTCATTATCATCCATGTTGAAAGTTTTTGCTGCTTTATATATTTTTTTAGAAACCGTGATACAAAGTAAGAATTAATAATATCTGAGCACCAAGAATAATAATTGGGAATAACTGGGAACCAAATCAGCATATTAGAATGATTTGTGAAGGATCATGTGATACTGAAGACTGGAGTAATGGCTGCTGAAAATTAATCACAGGAATAAATTACATTTTAAAATAAATTAAAATAGAAAACTGTTATTTTACATTGCAATGATATTTCACAATATTAATATATTACTGAATTATTTGTATTTTTAATAAAATAAATGCAGCATTGATAAGGATAAGAGACTTCTTTCAAAAATATATAATAAAAAAAAAATCTAAATTATTCCAAAAGTTTGACCAGTAGTGTACAAGAAGCTACTGACTAACTATCAGCTTTAGCACAGATTGTCTGACCGAAAGTGCCAATAAAGAGAAAGCAAGGCAGAGAGTTTCCGTGCTAAACTGAGAGGTACTGATATAGTTCACCTGCAGACTGGGGTGGCAGCCAAAGTCAAGCAAAGTCTTCACCACCTGTAGGTGGCCCTTGTTGACAGCGATGTGCAGAGGTGTCTGTCTGCGTTTGTTTCTGGCATTCAGGTCAGCCCCGCCTCGATGCAGCACCTCAATGACGGAACCTTCGTCCCCGAAGGATGCGTGATGGACAGCTCGGTCTCCATCCTTATCCTGAAAGAGTCGCATGTCAATCACTGTCAGCATCCCAATTTAAAACATCACAGTTTGATTCCACTGTCTGACTCTAAAGCTTTTATAACTCTAACTGGCCAAGAAAAATAAAATGCTGAGGAATGTTTATGGACACAGTCATTACTGAAGCAACTGCCTTATTACGATGCAAATCTTCTGGTTAATTAATCAGAGGTTAAAAGTGATTCACCGCCATAAATTAGACTCTGCCTAATCTATTCATTCCTCCTGCTGACAGTGGCAACAAGTCCAGTCTGTTTTTCTCCATTGGACCACAATATTTCATTAAGGATTCCAATACGTGAAACTAACAGAAAAACAAACATCCTTTAAACTGTAAGACATCCTATAATGACTAGATTTCTTCACATTCAGCCTGTAAAAGTTAAAATCAGAGTTGTGCATGTTAACTAAATCTAAAACTAAAAATATTAAAAAATGTAAATAAGGCTGAAATATAAATATATATATATATATATATATAATATTTTGAAATTGCTTTTAAAAATGTATTATATTTATAATTTGAAAAATTATTATTATATAGGAGAGAGACAGAGAGAGAGAGAGAAACAACACGGTTTAAAATAAGAGTATAACAACAACGTTTAAGTCATATGACTTTACAGATTTTTAACAGGGTGCCTTTCTTGGCATGTTTAGTAATCTAAAATTTTTACATTTAAAATTATTTTATTTAAAATTTGGCCATATAAAAATTACATTACACAGGTGACTATTTTCACCTTTCTGGTACTCTGTCATTTTAACAATTACTATGCTGTCACGCACAATCCATAACAGACAACCAAATAAAAATGATAAAGCAGGACACAAGTGATTTGCGAAAGTCTGCAATCAAAGTATGATCTTTTCCAAAGCAAGCTCTTTCCTTCCCCTGAAACATCACCATACACCAGGACATAAATATTCGTGCTTTATTGTGAGTGGAGAACCATTCACGTGACTGGAATAACAATGCTGGCTTTCCAGCGTTGTTGTTTTTTTTTTAAAGCAAACAGTAGACGTGCTGACTGCATGCTAACATTAAAGGGCTCCTATTATGCTCGTTTACAAAGTCTTGATTTTGTTTTGGGGGTGTACTAGAACAGGCTCTCATACTAGGTTGTTAAAGTTGAAAAAGTGAAAAAGCATAATAGGACACCTTTAACTTATCCTCAGAATATAGGAATCAGGGGTTAATGTTATCTCAATACAGCTACTTTTCTTTACAAACAAACACTTATTTCACCTAGCATTCCTATTGCAACAATGTGAGCCAAAAACATTTATTAAAATGTTATTAGTGCAAGTTACTTGGAAGATCACTCCATGGGTTAAAAACAGCCCGGGGTTGTCACATGTGGTTGCCGCAAGCCCTCCGGCCACGCCGTTCTCAAGCCCGCTGGCCTCCGTTCACTCAAGGCCGCCGTGTGTGACGTTGTGTGTTTCGTTGTGAAAGCGAAACTACTTTGTTTGGCCTTCCAAAAGAGGACGATATCCGCTTCGTCA